TGTTGTATTTTGTAACGAAAAGTTCTCTATTATAAATCTCTTCTCTATTATAAATCGTCTTGCCTCCAAGACTTTTTGGGGGTGGCCTATCTACTACCAACTATGCATAAAATATACGTTAAGCACATATAAATTAATATAATACATTGTTAATTATTCACAAAATCTGAGAATTCAAAACAATTTCAAAGGTGGTTATCATAATCGAACATGTACACCACTTAATCATAGAGTTGACACTTTCATTTCTAAAACCCCATTTTACGAAATAAAAAAAATCATACAAAGAAATTATTCTCTTCTCCATTCTAAGCTTATATATAACCAAACTTATACCATTTGTTCAAGCTTCACCCGCAATGGCTCATCCAAAACACATTACTGGTGTTTCGGTTGCAATCGCGGCTTTGATACTACTTGTAACGTGTTTCCATTGCGTCGATGCAAACTACCGACAACAATTCATGGCTCCACAAAACGCAGCAAGATCGCGTTTAAGGCTCAGACCGCTAGTGTGGGACGCCAAACTAGCCCGTTACGCGCAATGGTGGGCCAACCAAAGACGCCGTGACTGCGCCTTGATCCATTCGAATGGACCGTACGGTGAGAATCTCTTTTGGGGTTCAGGCAATAGATGGAGCCCGGCTCAAGCCGCATATGGATGGTTGTCTGAAGCAAGAAGCTACAACTATTACTCTAACTCGTGCAGGGCCGAGATGTGTGGCCATTACACGCAGATTGTGTGGAAGAACACACAGCGGATTGGTTGCGCTCACGTGATCTGCGATCGCGGAGGCGGCGTGTTCTTGACTTGCAATTACGATCCACCAGGGAATTTTCTTGGTAGGAGGCCTTATTGAGTTTGATCCATTTGTATATCTGAACAAAACTCATGCCAAAAGAGGTTGTTCTTGCGTTTTAACTATTTTCTTCTTTTTTTTTAACGTGAGATCGGGAAAACCACAACACAACGTTTGTCTTCCGACATTTTCTTATGTGTATTTTTCTGTGAGGGCCATTTCTTTTCGTTAATAAGACTAACTAAATTATACAAATCTCAGATTGTGTACATTAGATTAGCTATTGTAATTTACCATATAATACTCATTTGTTAACAATTACGATCTTGTAGCATTTGAGTTTTCTATGTCTAGTCATGAATGGGACCTCTTGGGGCTTTTCTAAAGATAATTGTTTCTTCCAAAACTTTTTAAAAAAATACTAAAAGGGGAAACAAGAATTGTAATCCCATATAGTTAGATCATAGACATAGGGTCCTTCATCCTCAAAGCTATCACTACCATCGATTACACGAAAGTGAGAAAAACACCGAATCAATTGTCGATTTTAACAAGAAGCAAATCGACAAGACATATAGCAAGCTCGAAGATTCTAAGATGATGGTCTACAAGATCTGCAGTGGGAGAGTTCACACCACAGTTGTTGGGAGAGACTATCACTTGCCCCTGTAATAAGATACAGAAGGATTGCGATTCAATTTTTTTTAAATGCAATATGATTGTAAAAAGTTTGTATCTTTAGATTTATGGAGGGCCGATTTGAGAGAGATGGGAAAAAGAAAGTATCAGAAAAGGATGATGCTACTTACGCGTTCATCATCAGGGTTATGTTGTCTCCTTTAAGCAAAATCCTTCCTGAAATCCAGTATTTGAGCGAGTTAGAACCAACCATTACCGAAACAAACAAACAATAAAGAAAAAATATATATGAACCAAAGTCTTGTAGAAGAGCGATTTTGGAGAGTCGCAAACAACTCACCAAGTGGTTTTCTGGTATTCTTCTTGATGCTGACTTCCTCAGCCTCATCCAGCACCAAATTCATGTACTCATCGAAACCCTGCACAAATGACAAGTTAGATTAACGAAACAATGAAACATTCAAAGTCAACTAAACAACGCGTCAACAGAAAAACAAAGAGAATCAAGTCATGACATTGATAAATCTTAAACTTCACACAAAGGAAGCATCTCTGTTATCATCTCGAGATAGAAATTCAAGCAATATTGCAATACAATCACAGTCTTAATATAATACACCAACCCGAAGAATCAAACTAATTGCTTCTCATTGGTCCCTTACCGATAGCAAACAGTGTATATAACTGAATCAGTGACAATCCCAACAATATTGCAATATACAATCGCAGTCTTACTAATACACCAACCCGAAGAATTGAACTAATTGCTTCTCGCTGGTCCCTTACTAATATCAAACAATGCATATAACTAAATCAGTGTACCAATCAAGAAATTGTAACCAATGTTAGATTCACTCAAAAAAGTCTAGCTTCCAGAGAAAAAAATCACATTAGTGATGTATTATTCAATCCCTTCTCAAGTTAATAACACAGGCAATTCACAAAACTTCGAGTTTGAGCTATTTTGATTCCTAGGAGAATAATTTTGAAACGAAATAAGAAGAGAGAATATGAAACTCACAGTAATGCGTCCCTCAATCCTCAAATCTTTCTGCTCAAAAAGCCAAATCTGGATCCGAGCTTTCTGCACACAAACGAAATATACGATTCAGAACCAAACTATATATATCTCCAAGTGAAGGAAAATTGACTAGTAATCGATAACACTTACACTTTGGAGAAACCTGAAAATCAGATTCTGAAAAAAACCGCCACACGAAGCCACAGAGATACAAAGCGAAGAAACCAAAAAAGTAAAGAGTCAGTAAACGATATAGCGAGAGAGCTTTAGAAGCAAAAAAAAGAAACGAATCGAGATAATTACAATAGGTTGGGTCATAATCCTCTGAACTTTGGTGCTCGCCATGTCTGCGAAGGTTGGGAAGTGTTCTTCGGAGCTCGAAAACACTGAAGAAGATTTCTCTCAGAAACCCTAAAAGGAAATTTGTGATTTCTCTCTTCCTCGCGAGAGCAAATATATGATTCTTTACCTTTCAACTTTTTTTTCTATGAATTTTGCTACTTGGTCCTCCATAATCTGGTATTTGTTCTTTCTCACCCCATTAAAAGCTAATTTAACTGTTTACACCCAATTCTATCTCCATACATTGGAAAATTTAGATGGACTATGTTTGAAGAAACATCAAGTTTACAAGATTTCAAGACAAGAAATTGATTCTACTTTCAAACGATTGCTTGAAAAAAAAAATATCTTTGTGCCAAAAAAAGGGATAAATATTGAAACTTTATCAATAAATTACAATACAAAGTGAATTCTTCACCAGCACAACAACAACAACAGCTAGAAGCTGAACAGAGATAAGCTATTTTGACTAAGTAAGTAATCGATCAGACATACATAAAGACAGATCAGGCTTTTTATCTTCTTTAACCTCTCGAAACAGGTGAAGATTTACCCTTGATTCATTCACCGTTGATCATTAACGATTGAAAAGGAACCTTTTTGATCTCCACGAAAGTCGAAAAATGGGTCTTCATCGGTTGTTTCCATGGCTCACCATCCATTTGCAAGAATGCATCTTTCCAATCACCTCCTCGTAGTTCAAATCTAACCGCAGCCGCCTGAAACAGTTTAAGATCAAACCAAGGTGGTTTATAAAGGTTCTATAGAGAGACAGGTCGGTGTTTTCGTACCTGAGCAATGTGTTTAGCCGAGATTATTTCAGCCATTACAAATGACGCATGCCAACCTTGCTTCAAACCGAAAAGCTCTATCAGCCCGTCATCACAATGCGCCTCCACAAACCCTCTCTGTAAAGAAACCGGAACTCATTTCGCTAAAAGCTTCAAGAGAAAGGGACAGATAGTGGTACTGCATAAAAACATTACCTTTTCTAGATAGTTCGGTTTGAGATTACCCCATGGATGTCTTCCACTACCATAGTTATCAAGATTCAATGCCACAATCGATCTCACGCTATACAAAACCAAAGCAGGTGACTGTCGAATTTTCTAACAGATGATGGGATTAGAATTCTCATACCTTTTAGGGATCGGGATCTCTTCCCATTCGGAGCAATTCACCTTTTTAATGTGGATTTTCATTATGTTTCTTAGTCCCCTGCAAATTCATCTTACCACAACATGTCAACACAACAAGAGATCAAATCCAGAAAAACAAAAAACTAAAAGCTTTGATTCTCTTCACTGGAAATACTAACCTTAAACCTGGATTGCTGACACAAGGCGTACAAAACCAACCCTGAGTACAACTGTAACTTGAATAAATAATCTGCAAAACCAAAACCAGTTGATTCATAATCTCATTACAAACCCAAAAAAAAAAAACAAGAATGAAGATTCAAGTTTCAACAGATGTAAACAACCTTATTTGAAACGGGGCCTCGAGCTAGATACGGTTTCTCATTGCGAAGATGGTGGAATCCATATGCAACTTGAGCATCCATACCTTTACGACAACAGAAAAAAACCAAATTACCTCAACAGGATAAGTTTTTGATGAAACTTGTTATGTATATGAAAATAGAAAGTTAATCCAAACCTATGCTAAAGTAGTTGTAGAACACTCCTTCGTAGGACTTTGCTTTCAGAGGTACATCACCTTCAGCATCCAAAGTCTGATCAAGTGCAGTTTCCTCTGTAGGCTTCAAAGAATAAGGAGGATCTACGACTTCTCCTGATGGCATCGACACAACAATCTTCCAACTATCTAATCGAGCAACAGAGCCCATAGTTGCTCGATGTAATGTTCTTTTCATAGCAGATCTCCAAGCAAAAGGGAATGAACCACCCTAC